GAAGTATAATTTTTAAGATCAAGAAATACACTACTTTTATACTATTCTCCACCTAATGAGTTATAACTTCATCTTCAAAAACTGATAAAGAACTATTTTTTAAAAAATAACAAGGCAGTGCTGGGTGTAGTGGTGCACACCTCGAACCAAGCCCTTGGAAGGCTGAGGCAGGAGAATGGCTGGGAGTTCAAGGCCAGCTGAACTACACAGTGAGACCCTGTCTCACACAAAAAGTTAGCATGTGAAACTGGCAATACTAAAGTATTATTAAAAAATTCTTATATAAAAAGGCTTTAAATCCATATCAATTTTCTCACCTTGAAAAAATGTCTTTCAACCCCTATTTTCTGTCCACCACTGCATGCTTTCCTTCCTTCAGTATCTCAAAGTAGTACGTCCAAGCTCAAGTGCCTATTTTCTCTCATAATCTTGGTCATCTAGTCTTTCAAGCCTCGTTTAACAGGGATTCTGCTCTTCCTCTGTGCAGACAAATAGCTTACCAAAGTTATGCTGGTCCCTTCTCTGGCGGCTCACCCTACAAACATGAGGCCCCTGGAAACATCTGGTGGGCTTTCTTTTCACATTTCCAAAAAAGACCTATTTTCCCACCACCTCACAGCTACCACCTGGTCCATTTCTCACCTGAATAATGAAAGGCTTCTGTTATTCTTCCTGTTCAATACTTGCTCCCCAAAGTCTACTATTCTCTGCATAGCAGCAAGAGCGATTCTTTTCAAAGTGGGACCCAGAACACAACAGTCCTCTACTGGAAATCCTTCAGTGGGTCTCCCTTTTCTTCTCAGAGAAGATGCTAAAATTCTTGCAGTGGTCAAAAAGGCCCTATAAGATGCGTCCTCATCTCCCACTCTGTCTACTTTAGCAGGACCACCCTGACTTCGCTCCTTGACTAGACCAGCTGTGCTCCTGCCTCAGGATATCTGCGCTTGGTTTTTGGCTGCCTGGAGTGTTCTGCCCAGACCACACAGAATTTACTTCTCTTTCAAGTCCCTGTTAGGGGGCAGGGGAGATGGCTCAGTGGAATAAGTGCTTCCCTGGTGAGCGCAAGGACCTGAGTTCAATCCCCAGTTCTGCCAAACAACAACAACAACAACAACAACAACAACAACAACAAACCCCAAAAACAAAACAAAATCACTATTGCCTGGATTATGGAATATACTTAATCAAGTCCTTGTTAAAATTCCAGCTTCCCAAGAGGCCCACACTACCATTCTAGCTAATTCACAATTTCTTGCCCTGTGTTCCCAATCTTCCCTACCCTACTCTAGTTTGCTGTAATACTTCTATCTTTTAACAGAGAATTTATTCATGTTTCGTGTTTGTTACTGGTTTCCTCTGCTGAGATGTAAACTCCATAAAGACAGAGATTCTGGTCTAGATGAGTCTCTGACATATCTCTAGCCCCTCAAACAGTTCCTCAATAAATATCGCTAAATGATTGATTTTCATTAGCATCAATGTTCTTCCTACAAATTCGTAGTCCTGTTAAGATCTTTCGGGTTTACAGTGAAGTTATCATTTTACATTTGAAGTAAGATATTTTTCCCTCTCCCTAACGGGAAGCCATCTTCATTGTCATCTGGCTTAACCGAACTACAACACTGAATAAAGAAGAATAAGTGTGGGGAATGGAAAAGGTGGCTTGAAGAATTTGGTGGCAAAGTTAACCTACTATCACTATCAAGCAAAGCCTTGTCTAACACATGTCAGCCAACTAAGCAACAGAGAAAAACCAGTATGATCTCCAGGTCTTCTAATCCACTGTCATCTGCAGTGCTGCACTTTAAAGCAATTTACAGACTCACATGGGTGTGGCTCTTTCAAATCATGTTGATGACACATGTGTGTCAAGCAGCACAATGAAGGGGAAGTACTGGTGTGCGTCCTATGCCATCAAGTTCACTTTATTAAAAATTCTAGGGGGCCGGGGAGATGGCTCAGTGGAATAAGCGCTTCCCTGGCAAGCGCAAGGGTCTGAGTTCAATCCTTGGTCCCGCCCCCCCCCAAAAAAAATTCTGTCTACTCTGCAAAGGAAGGCTGAATGATACGCAAGACAAATCGCACACCATCCACTGCTTACAGATTGCCATCTCTTCTTAGCAATCACAAAATATCAAAATGTCTGTAAAACTGATTAAAAATAGCTGGCATAATACTACATGCACATATGAAAAGCACAAGAGCATAGTGCTTTGCAGCATATTTAGTTTTTATCAGTAGATAAGGGAAAGAAATGTGGAAATAATTAAAATTGGGATTCGTTATCATTGAATGACGAAATTATTTTGGTCGGAGTTAGCATAATTATCAAATTAACTGTGGATAAAAAGGAAACAATGGTCCAGAGGCAGAAGGGGAGGGCAGGGAGGAGGGGGAAACGATATAAAAAGAATGAAGATCTGTTAATTACATGTATAAATCTCCTAGGATGAACATGAACATTATGTACTATAAACATGTATTAACAAGAAATTGAAAAAATAAGTTTAAAAACTATGGGTCATATCTACAATCTTATTTGTAATTTTCAGCATTAAATAAATTGTTTCATAAATGAGAACTCACTTGAGATTATACGTGTCATACTCAATGGAAGACCTTGGCACTGCAGGGATCATATAAAGAAATCCGAGAGTTTCATTTTCACGTACTATTTTAATGATTTGCAAGGGATCACGGATGTTGGCTTTAACGACTTCTTCCGGGTCGTGGAAAACGTACTTAGGATACATGGAAGACCTAGTCCCAAAGAGGCCTCTTCTTCCAATACCAGTACGTGGCAGTTTAGGAGGAGAAGGAGAGAACACCTCAACAGAGGGCCGATGGATCTAAACAAAACCAAGTTTTTAAAAATGAGTTTTTGAGAAAAAAAAAAAAGGGAAGGACAAAATATGATTTTCAAGGACAAGCATGCTGAAACTGAAAAATTTCAAACTGCTGCTAGGGCGTGAGGTCCCTTCTCAGAGCTATCTGCTCAAGTGCACAAACGCTTCCACAGGGCTGTCTCAGGGTCAGGGCCCATGGCCTGCTCCTTGAGTTCCATGATCTTTAGGCCCCTCTGCTACGAGCTCTCTGGTGCTCATGGGAACACACTATACTCCTCACTCGGCTGCCCAGTATCTATCCTAACAGGCTTCTCTCTTCAGGCTCCTCCCTGTTCTTATCACTTTGATGCTTTTCGGGGAGTGAAATCCAGACAATTGTTATCATAATGCATGATAAACTTTACTTCTCTGCAAATGTGAGGGGCGCTTATGATGAGATGGGGAATCAGTGGTAGTAGGCTTTGAGAAGCAATTATTTTATTAAGTAATAATCATCTGTTCTGTAGACCAGTGTTCTGCAACTAAAATGTGCGTGTGAATTCCTGGGGTCTTGTTAAAATGCAGATTCTGACTCACTACTGTTGGGATGTAGCTCCCCATTTCTACTTTGCTCACAGGGGATGTGGGCCTTCCTGGCTGACCGTCTTACAGGAAGCAGCACTGCTAAGTCCCACCCTCCCCATGCTCACACCTGAGGGCTTCAGGTCTATTTCCGTGCCACTCATACCCTTTTGTTCATCCCCCAAAACACTAGGGAAGCATCACTCATGTCCTTCTCTCTACAGAGGTGATTACCAACCGCACTTGAGGATGTCTGACACAACCTTCAAAGACCATCACTTGCCTCTGGTAGGGCAAAGGTAACTGCCTAGAGAAAACAGTCACCACACAAGGCTTGCTTCACTGAGTAACTCATGCAAATATATACACTTATTTAGTGCCCATTGCAGAGCTGATAGAGGCCACCATTTCTTTTTCTTTTTCTTTCCTTTTTTTGTGTTTTTAGTACGGGGTCTACATGGGTCTTACATACAGATCATACTTGTAGTGATCTTTCCTCTCTCAGCCTCCCAAGTGCTGGGATTACAGGCACTACAGCACCCAGTCTCATTAGCTCTCTCAGTATGCCCCTGGGGTGGGACCAGCATTGCACATCAGTGATTGAACCCCAGTTCCTGCATCTGCCTAAGCAGGCACTTTAATCCGCTGAGCTATCTGGCTGGCTTGAGGCCACTATTTCTACAAGAGCTTCATTATTAGGAGCTCAGTGGAATAACTTTCTCAGACAGTTTGCATTCATAAACATCATTTTCCACTTCTGACAAAACATATCCCACAGAATGGCAATTTGAGAGAGGCTCAGCAAGTCCAGAGCTGAAGGAAATACATCTTTAACTCAAAAGTTGTCATGCATGGTGGCAGAGGTATTATTCTCTGTTTTCAAAGAATGGGCCAAATCTGATGTGCAAAATGTGGAAAGATCCACATTGTCTTCTCTCAAGATTGCAGCAAGGGTTACAGTCAAGTTCAATATTTTCTTAAAATGAAGTGTTATTATTTTAATAGAAAAAAATTTTTAGTATATCTTTTTCAAAATTTTACTTCCTTGTAAGTGAAAGATTCATTCACTAACAAGGCTACACATTTTCATATGAGTGCTTATTTCTAATTACGCAACTCAGCGGGAAGATGTTACCAACTTAGAAGTCACACATTGAGAGCTGGGATGGAGGGTACAGGAAGCATTTGTTCATATGCTGTGGATCAACGATAGCAATTCTCGCTCATGGTTGCCCAGTTCAATTATGTCAACATATTTCTTAGTCACTAGAGTCTTTCTTTCCTTTCTCCCTCTCTTCCTTTCCTTCCTTCCCTTCTTCCTTCTTCCTTTCAGTCCCTTCCATCCTTTTCCCTTTCCTCTCTCCTTCCCGCCCTCTTTTCCTTCCTTAGTTCCTTCCTTCCTTTGTTCCTCTCTTCCTTCATTCTTTTCTTCTTTCCTTCCTTTCCCCCTGCTTTGCTTTCTCAGATAATTCATATTTCCATTTTCAACTCATGAGAAATCAGTACTGAGGAGTAATCCTCTTCTCAGAATAAATAATCTTTTCCTGTACTATGGACTATCCCACTTTACCCCCCATTTCCTTTAATCTCTAGCTTTTTACTGAATTCTTCACTGGAGTGAGTTACAACCAGGACCCACTGCCCATAACCTACTGTTCCTTTTCAGCTCTTTCACCCTATTTGGCCATTTCTTTAAACTCAAGTACCAGAAGTCCATTTTGTGCCTAATGAATTAGCTTAACGAAAATTAAATCTTTTCTGGCTCTAAGCTCTCTCCTCTTCACAGAACCTGTACTGACTGAGGTTATGAACTCCATATAATTTCCCATCTGACTGTAGTCTCTAAGGATGACTTCACCCAAATCTACAGTGAGCTCCTGTCCAGCTGACTTCTCTTTAAGCCCCATCTCTTCCACCTTATCTACTGCATCCATTGAGCTTAGTGAAATTCCAAGGGTGGCTCTTCCTCTGCTAACTGTCCCTCACGCAACAGGGTGTGAGTCTATTCCATTCAGTTCTTTACCATTTTATACCCTAACTGAACAGTGAGAGCTATTACTGTGCCTGACTGCAGTTGAATATTGCCCACTTCCAGACTCTGAAATCTTCAAGGCCAGAGAGAATACTTTTTTTTTTCCTTAATGAATTTAGAACAGGGTCTACAGGGTCTCGGACTCATAGTGATTTTCCTGTTTTCAATCTCCCAAGTGCTGGGATTACAGGCGCATGCCACCATGCCCAGTCTCAATCGCCTCTGAGCACACCCTGGGGGAAGAGCCGGCACAACACTGGGAACCCTGGCCACTGCACTCTGCCGAGCCAGTACTTAACTTTGCATTTCCAGCACTGTAGCCCCATGCCTGAAACCAAACTGGCATTCAAATACTTAATGCGCACTCAAGGGTCTTTTAACCAAAAGTTCAGAGATATCTCGGCTGTTTCAGCATCTTTACTGAAGCTGGACCCTTCACATTTTCTCCCATATTTTTTCTTTCTTGAATTACCTACAGGTAATCTTGAGAAGCCAAGCTCTAGTCATTTTTCCTCCTAAGCACTATCCATTTAGGTCCTGGAAGACAACTTTATTGCTCTACAATTCTTACCAGCTCTACCAATTCTCTCCCAGTTCTTACCAAAGCATTCTTTTGTGCTGACTGTCTATTTTACCGCTTCTCAACGAGGTCTCCAAAGATTTTTGTTTTTGAAAACAATTGTACAGCGTTCAATATACTGCTACATCTTAGAGAAAGCCAGAGACACAGGTGTTGAAAGCTTCCTTTATGATTTTCATTTTATTTAAATGGGAAGAACTGAGAGATACCATATTTCCCAAACACATGTGCCTCCTTTTAGAAGAAAATTATTTTGCTACTATTCTCAGGAGTTAAAATCATATTAGCAAGGCCAAATAAAACAGAAATTAAAATTAAAAGTATTGCTTAAGTATTTTAGTATTATTCTGTACCTTCTTTATCCCCATAACATCTTGAGGCTCCAGTGGAGTAAGAGACTTGATAGAACTCCTTTCTGCTATGCTTGCCCGTGGTTTAAGGATTCCACGACTGATTAACTGAATGCGATTCTGTTCGTGTATATATTCCGGCTGCTTATGATCTTGGTAGGCTCTTAGCACTGGCTTTGGGGAATAGAGAGACAGATTAAACTTTTTAATAATGTGAACTTGCCTGATTCTTCACAGCCTTTTGGCTTTGTCCTGTTAGAAACTGCTCACCCTGGAATCATTTCCTACCAAAACCACAGTCTCATCAGCACTACTACTGTTGGCTATCCTTGATCTATTACTTGATTAAAACTTTTCTGCTTAGTTTCCACTGATTTGGTGCTTTAATTTACCTCCAATACTTCTAGCAGTAAGGTTATCACAGAAAAGTCAAAGGATGAAATCACACATATCCCAGTTGTCCATGACAAATCCCCACTGTTCACTGCCACTTGGTGACAAGAAGCAATAATTTGTGTGCTAAAGAAATGGAAGTCATCCGGGCATGTAATGGCCATGAGAACAGGGATCTCCAATTTTTCTGACAGGGACTCAAAGGAAAGTACGGGGTCAAACAGAACAGCAGTGGAAACGGGTGAGTTCTTCCAGTTCTAACTCATAGGTTACTGTGGTAGACTGAAGAGAGCAAAGCAGCTTGGGTCTTAGAAATGAGCTGAAGAAAGGTCCATCCTAGGCAAAGTGTCATATTGGAAAGTAGCTGTAAGGAATTCAATACTCACTGTGGGAGACAGATAGGACAGGGCAAGGAAAAGAAAATCTAGATGAATGTGAGGAAAAGGAGCACAGGAAGGAGATCCCAGAAAGTACAGACATCTCTTTAATCAATTAGTGGGGAAAAAAAAGACGAGGAAGTTCTAGAATTTGAAAAGTAGTTAGCCAAAATCCCCCCTTAGAAAAAGCACTGAAAAATTAGCATCACTTTACAGATATGTTTTAACAGTGGGAACAGAAAAGGGCTGTATTAGCTCTCACACTGAGCTTATCTTAAGAAAAAACAGAAGAGAGTAAGGAACAGAACAATAGCCCTACTTATCCTAGAAAAGTACTGCACTGAGAAGCTTGTGCACACTAATGAAAAAGATTATCATTCAAAGTGAACTAAAAAACGAGAAATTATAAAAAAGAAAATAAACTGGACTTATGAAACCTCAAAAGAGAAGAGCAAAAAGGTTTTTCAGATAATAACCAAGCCCTGATTTTCACTATTAAAAGGACACACCAAGCATGTGGGATGGGACCCCAGAATAACCCCTGTCAGCACTCACTGTGGTAAAGGTGCTTGAAGGAAGAGGGAAGTGAGAATCCAGGTGAGAAGAATCAAGTCACTTAACAAAAATCTTGTTGTTGTTAAATTTTGTACACAGTGGTCTAAACCAGAAGAAAATGGAATGCATGTTTAAGATACCCAAAGAAAGATCATTTGATTCAAGGATTCTGTTTCCATCCCAGTGGGTATTCAAGTATAAAAGTTGTAAACACAAGCCGGTGAACACTCAAGAATGCAGGAAGATTGCACTCTTAGGAGAAGCTACTAGAGAGTACTAGACAACCAAAATGACTAGAGATTCAAACAGTAGAATTAGTGGGAGGTGGTGGGAAAGTTCTGGAAAGGGATGGGCTCTGTGATTGTACAACACTGTGAACGCACTTCATGCCATTGAATATAGACTTAACACTGTTATGTGGACTTTATCTGGCAATCACAATGGTCGCACGAGTGCAGGACGTACTTAGCCACCTGCATGGCGTATGCTATTTGCTCTGATGAGGTACATACAGTTAGCAATAAAAGATCAGAGACGGTTTGTGGGTGTTAGAAAAAATTCTCTGATTTTAAAGAGGTGGTTTTTAACCTAGGACAACTATGCCTTCTGCCCCAAAGTCAGTAGACATTTTTGGTTGTTCCAGCTAGAGGTTATGCTACTGACATCTGATAGGCAAAAGGCTAGGGATAGGGATACTGCTAAACAAGCTTCAATGGCCAGTGAAGCCCAAGTGCACAGTGATCTGGCTCAAACTATGAAAGGCACCAATGCCTATACATTGTTTAGCTTGCTAGGTCTCCTTACTCTAGTGACATATTGATTCATTATACCTACATATAATGAAATGACCTGCCTTACTCCAGGAAAAGACTTTGCTCCGAAATCAACTTAATTCAACACCTCCTTCCTAATCTGAATTCATTCTTTTTAATGTATCAGTTATTTAATTAGGTTCTTAGTAAGAAATTTAGAACACTAATTTATGAGGATAAATTCTATTTGTCAGAGCAAAAACGGATTGCAGGTAGCCCTGGAATTGAGGAGCAGCTTTGATTTTTGCTAAAATCTGTGAGTCCACTGTTTTCTGATCCACCGTGCACTACTCTGAACTCTGGTATCTCTCTTGGTGTTGAAGATCTCACTCTCCTGGTGTCTGGGTTTCTGCAGCTTCTTCTTCTTGAAGTAAGCATCAGTGAGGTGTTTGGGGATTTTCACTTTGCCGATATCAATTTTTGTAGAGGTAGCAATGGCAAATTTCTGGTGTGTTCTTTGTAGAGGAACACGATTAAGGCTAAGAGGCCCAGTCTCAAGTAGCAAGCCACTGGCCAACTGCTTCAGGAAGACCACTCTCTTGCCTTTGTGATGCCAGTGGGAATGATCAAGATGCTGGGAGTGATGCTAGCTCAAGGTTTCCTCAGATGCTGACTGAAGGGTTTCTAGCCATGGCTCACGAGGTTTTGGGGCACATCTTTAGTAGGGTAGTATCCAGGCATTTTTTTTGAAGCTTAACCACCTGGGTGCCACCATTCTTGTCCCCACCGATTGGTTTTGTGATCGTAGCAAGAACTTTCTCCTTCTTAACTTTGATTTAGCAGCTGTGTACTTTCTCTTGTATAAAGCCTTTCTGGAATACATAGCAGATCAGGAATATCTACTAATTCCTTTAACCAGGACAGGATTTTGGCTGCACTGAGGCTGCTCCTTCTTGGACTTTACTACATTCACATTGCCCTTTTTACCAGTACTACTGGCAGAAGCCTTCTTGGCTTTAAGTTTCTTCTCTTTAGTGTCTGGCTTCTCAGTTTTTTCACCCACCATCTTGTAAGATGGGAAAGAGAACTAAATTTCCAACTTCCAGTCTATAAGCAATCCTGAATTCAGAAAAATAGTCTCTTTTACATTTTTTAAAATCTACCTGGAATTTAGTTTTTATTATTGTGGAAGTGGAACTCTGTTTTTTTCTTTATACATAAATCAGCCATTACAGTACCATTTGTTAAGTAATTCATTTTTCCTTCATTGAAGTTTGATGTTACTTCTGAATAATATAAATTTTGTATTTTGCTGTGGGTTTTTTCCTGGGTTCGTCATGCTATCTTTTTGGTCTTCTTGGAAGTTGATTATTATACACTGTCTTAATTATAAAAACTGAATTAAAAATGTTTGTACCTAGTTGGGCAGATAACTACCTTTCTATTCTTTTTCATGATTATGTCATTTTTATAGGTTTGTTATTCAGCTTGTATTTGAGGATAATATTGTCAAAATTCAAGAAACAGGATTTTGTTTCGTTTTGTTTTGTTTTGCCCCAAAAGCCTTCAGGGCAGGCTTGGCTGGCTGGAGTTGTGGGGATCGAACCACAGCAACCTGAGCCTGACTGCTTTGTGGAAGCAGCCACTTAAAGAACTGAGCTAAGGGGCAGGCCCCCAAGAAACAGGATTTTGAAGTCTAAGATTGAATTAAAATGAGATCAACTAGGGAAGAATTTTATTTCGTATTATTATTATTATTATTATTATTATTTTGGCAAGCTCAGCCCACCCTGGGGGTGACGCTGGTGTGGCATGTGGTGCCAGGGATCCAACCGCGGTGCCTTGTGCCTGCCTAAACTTGCCTAAGCAGGAGCTTTAGACTGCTGAGCTATCTCACTGGCCTAGAAGAATTTTATTAATAGCCATATTGATTCTTGCCTTCTGCAAGTATGGAAGGCCAGTGAGCAGGTCTTAGTGTTTCTCATTCAGGCTTTATAATTTTTCTTTGCATAAGTTTAATTGAAAAATAGGTGTTGTTTTTCATAAACAGTGTAGAAGCAGCTGTGGTATTATTAGCAATAAATGGTAATGGAACTCCTAAAAAAATAATTAGGGAAAAGGTAAAATTTGATTCATATATTAGGATGTAGTCCCAGTGAAAAAGAGATACAGATGTAGAAACCAATATCACAAAAATATTAAAAGAAAACAAGGGTGAATTCTTTTATAATTTGGAGAAAGAGAAAGGCTTTTTAATTATGGTTCAAAAAAATTTTGAGTTTTATCAAGTAGATCTGCTACTATAATGGTATTGATGTAGCAATTTTAAAACATTTTCATGCATTTCTATGGAAATGAGTAGATATATTGGTGTTGCTAAGAACTATGTTTTTCAACTCCCTATAGCCACATTATGGAAACAGCCTAGATACCTGTCAGAAAGAACAGACAAAGAAAAATGTGGTACATACACATAATGGAGTATTATCCAGCCATAAAGAAGAACTAAATCTTGTCATTCACAGGAAGATGGAAAATATCATCCCACTAAGCAAATTAGTCCAGATTCACAAAGACAAGTGTCACATGTTTTCCTGCATATGTAGAATCTAGAAAAAAAGACGACTGTAGTAGAAGGATGGATGACTGTTACACAAGAAGAAACGAGTCAGGGAGGAGGAAGGGGGTATATACGATCATGATATATTATATGCATGTATGAAAATGCTGCAATGAAAGAGAGAGACAGAGACACACAGAGAGAGAGAGAAAAAGAGAGAGAGAGAGGTGCTGTTCACTATTGAAGGGACAGAAAAATATAGAAGAGAGAAGATAAAGTCAAGGAACGTCATAGGCTTTAACCTGGAATGAGTACAGTTAATATAAATTCCAGATTTTAAATATTAAATTCATACACAAACACATTGCAACTCTATGTCTTTTTAAAGATGCAAATACATGCCAAGTAGTAAGACGTACTCATGGTAGCCACATCTTTGGTTCCACATGTTCTTTCCCATTAAAAAAGATGCCTAACGCCATGGCTAAAGCAGGGAAATTACAAAGTGAACTTTGACTGTTTTTGTGGGGCTGGGTCAGAAGGCAAGGAAGTACTCAAAAGCTGTTGTTGTTGACAGCAAAAAGCCAGATATGCCCATGGATGAATTTAAGCACCACATGAAAAAATCACACTAATGGAGTAAAATAGTGAACTTTAAAAAAGCTTTAAATCCAGACCTTCATTTTGGCATTTAAGTACAGGAGATGAAGTTGTTCTCTGCAGAAGATGTTAACTAGTAAGTTTATGGGACAATTTGAATTTCAAAAAGTCTATATTTGATTTAAAATTTATTAAATAAATAAAGCCGTGAGTTTGTGAATTTTTTTTACTGGCAGAAAAAAACAAAAGATAAAGATCTTTTACTCTCACTAAGGCTATAGACTTATAGGAGCTACAGAAATGCATCAGGTGGCACAGCGAATGATCAGACATATCAAGCGTGTGTAATATACTACAGAACAGTCCTAGACTCTTCAGGAAATACGATAAAAAAATTAGCTATGAGATGCTTTATATTAAAAGAGAATAAAAATACAATTAAAAGACGCAGAACCATCCTGCCAGAGTTTGCTGAATCTAGCAGCCCCTGCTCGTCCTAAAGACTGATGGAGAGACCTGGCAGGCTATGCCTTCCTCTCCAGCCTTCCCACCAAAGTGTGCTGAGTTGCTGCCATACCTGAGCCTGAAGACCACCAGGGAGTCATGACTACCACAGCAACCTGCACCAGCCTTATAGAGCACCACCCTGCACCAATCCCCCATCGAAAGAGCCTCGCACATCTTAAGCCTGTGTTCATCATCATTGGATTCCCCCTGAACTGAGGCTTACCTCCCAGTCTGCCCCCTTAAGTGAGGTAGAAACCACAATGAACTCCACATAGCAAGAGCTTTGGCAAGCCAACCCTGCCCTTCCACACTCTGGAGAACCTTGATGACCTGCACCCCACCCATCTATTATCACTGCAAAAAATGACAAAAGGAAGGAACAAAAGGCAATCTCAGGCCTCTAACTCACCTAAAATAAGTCCAGGAGACAAGATCACAGAAGAACTTGGAAGTCACATACCTGAAATTTATGAGATGATAGCAACTGAAGGAAAGAAACAACTCCATCAGGCTATGGAAGAAATCAGATAAGGAATAATCTCTCAGGTAAAAAATGAAATGACTATAATTATGAAAGAATTGTTCGATACATCTAAGGAAGACATAGATTAAAAAAATAGAAGGGAATAGGAAAATGATGGAAACATTGCATGAACAATACAGGAAAGAATTAGAATGCATGAAACAGATTAAAAATGATATCCAGGACATTAAGAATTCCATTGAAACCTGGCAAAACCACTCAAATGAAACAAATGATAGAATTTCAGACCTTCAAGACAGCATTGCAGCTAGTGAACAAGAAAGGAAACATCTCAAAAATGAGAAACTAGGAAATAACAATACAACAGCTACAAGACAATGCAAAGAAAAATGATATAAGACTAACTGGTATCAACAAAACAGATGGAGATATTACAAAAGACATAAAAAAGTGTTTTCAGAAATAATAGCAGAAAATTTCCTGAGCAAGGGAGAAGAATCTGATATACAGTAACTGAAACATATAGAACTCCAGCTAGCTATAATCAAAACAAATCATCACCCAGACACATAATAATCAAGATCCCAGAAACTGAGCAAACGAACAGAAGAGTAAAAGCTGTTAGAGAGAAGAAACAGATCACCTATTATGGAAATCCCACCAGAATCATGGCAGATTTCTCAACACAAATTATGAAATCAAGAAGAGCTTGGGGTGAGATATTTGAGGTCCTGAAAGAAAACAACTTTAAACCTAGATTGACATATTCTGAAAAACTATCAAGTTTAATGGAGAGATTAGATATGACCATGACCAATAACAACTGAAGAAATTCATGACAATCAAACCAACTCTACAAAGAGTACTGACAGATATTTAGAAAGAGACCAAGATGACCACCAACTTCAACAACAATAGAAGAGGACAACCAAGTAGAACAAACAATGAAGCAAAGGGGAAAACTAGGGATCCCCCAAGTAGGAAAACAACATGACAAATACAAGCCAATGCGTATCAGTTATCATTATTAATGCAAATGGCCTCAGTTCTCCAATCAAAAGAAGCAGACTTGTAGAATGGATAAAAAAACAAAATACAACAATATGGTGCATACAAGAAACATATTTAACTTAAAAACAAATTAATAGACTGAATGTTAAAGGATGGAAAACAATACTCCCTGTGACAGGAACCCAGAAAAAAGTAGGGGTAGCTATTCTGGTTGCTGACAATGTCAACTTCAAACCAGGTGTGATTAAAATAGACAAAGAAGATCACTACATACTTGTTAGGGGAAAACTGCAAAAAGAAGAGATAATAATTACAAATATATAGGTACCCCAATGTACGAGCATCAAAATATATAAGACAGATTTTAACAGACATGAAAAATCTAATAAGCAATACTTAGGAATCAATCTCACAAAAGAAGTAAAAGATTTATATGGCAACAATTATAGAACTCTGAAAAAAGAGATCAAAGCAGATTTCAGAAAATGAAAAGATATTCCTTGCTCCTGGATAAGAAGAACCAACGTTGTGAAAATGGCCATCCTTCCAAAATTGTTATACAGATTCAATGCAATCCCAATTAAAATACCATTAGTAAACCTCACAGATGTAGAAAAAGCACTCTTAAAATTCATCTGGACCCAGGAGAGAACCTAGAATAGCAAAAGCAATCCTAGGCAACAGAGGAAAGGTAGGAGGCATCATGATCCCTAACTTGAAACTATACTACAAAGCTACTGTGATAAAATCAGCATGGTACTGGCATAAAAATAGACCTGAGGATCAATGGAACAGATTAGAAGATACAGACAAAACTGCAAGCACACTCAGCTACCTTATCTTGAATGAAGGGACCAAACATGTTCATTGGAGGAAAGGTAGCCTCTTCAATAAACGGTTCTGGAAATACTGGCTTTCCACATGCTGAAGGCTTAAAATAGACCCATGCCTATCACCATCCACAAAACTACAGTCAACATGGATCAAAGACTTAAATATTAAAACTGAAATACTAAATCTTCTGGAATAGAAAGTAGGTAGAAACCTTAAGGACATAGGGATAGGTAAAGAGTTCATGAACAAAAATCAAATTGCTCAGCAAATGCTTCAAAGACTCAACAATTGGGATCTCATATTTTTGAAAAAACAGCAAAGCTAACTGACACAATCAGTATATCTTGTACAATCATACTTTAAAACTATACATATTTCCACACATTTGTATATACAAATCCACTTGAAAAAAAATACAGGATGGTTTGAAGGGCACACAAGCATGAGTAAGAGTAAATATGTGAACATGGGAGATAAGAACTTTACCTTTTTATACTTCATTGGTCCTTTGCATGCATTTATAATTATCCAAGGGTACAAAGACTTTCTGAAAATTTTATCAGACACACATAAATTTTTCAGAACTCCAGTCATGTAATCTTAAAAAAAGAATGCATATCACTTTTCCTGGAGTTTTAAGTATTAAACGTTATCCTAAGGACTATGAGAGCTGAGAAAGGGAATATAGGTGGTGGGGGAAGAGAGGCAAGGTCAATAATACATGGGAGGTTAAAAATCATTAAAATACGTTACATATATGTATGAATCTTCCAAAGAGCAAATCTATTATCTGTATAATTAATATTCACAATGAAAAGTGGTATCTCAATATGTAAAAGAGCCTCCTAATCCAGATAGGTAAGTATCTGTATAGTGCATAATCCTAGAGAAAAATTTATGCATAAAGAATGGTTCACCACTTTATCTCCCAATTTTATATAAAATCTTGGAACTTATTTGTACAGTTTCATAAACACATTCTTAGCTTTTAAAGTTTCCATCCTTTCTTTGTCAGTGAAAAGTCTGAAAATAATGTCCATTCCTTAAAACAATGCTGTAACTTCCTCCGGATAAGCAAAATGGGCAAAATACTGATTTTTCAAAACTTACCAGAGGCTCTAGCTTTACCGGCTGCTGCCTTTTCCTTGTCTTCTCCTGAGCTTTTGTGCTGTGCCTAAATGTCAGGACTTGTCTCTCAGATTCATTTGCTGCAGATGTTAGGTAACTCACTCTTCTCTTTGATGTCGTATTACTCACTCTTGAAAGCTGAGGATTGTCTGAAGTACCTTCAAGACTTTTCAGCTCCATTTCGCTGTCTGTAGTCTGATAAGTCATCTTTATTTCTGGAAATGACAGGGGAAGGAAAGGGAAAATGAAAAGCTTGAAGACTTTGTTAAAATGCAGATTCTGACTTCTATACTTTGAAGCAGAATGTCCTAAAACACCTGAATGACCCTTTTGTAATGGTCCTGTACTCAGCACCGCACACGCTCTCATCCCATCGGGTGAATGTAGGTGTACCTGAGGAAAATATTCCTCAAAATGCTATCATGGCACAAAAGGTCTTGAACGAGGGGTTGGTATATAGAGCTGGCCAAGTTTTGCTCAGTGCTGACCAAGAAAATTGAGGGCCTCCTATGTTATTTCCAGTTTCCAAGCGACCAGCTACAAAACACAAGAAAAAGAAAAAGAAAACGAAGACAAGGAGGAGGAAGAAGAGGAGGGGGAGGAAGAAGAAAACACTAATTTTAATTTTACGTATCTAATATTCAAATTTTCATTTCAATACATAGCATAAAAATTATTACTGTGGTAATTTAGTTTGCGGCACTACGCCCCCCGAAATCCAGTGTGCGCCCCGAATCTACAGCATAACTGAGCAAAGTACCGGCCACATGCGACAGCAGTTGCCATATTGAATAGCGCAGGCCTAGACATGACCAAATAGATCTCATACAAGTCTAGTCTCTTGATGTCGCTATTCCTCATTTTCCACACTTCTGAAATGACAGGCAATTAGGAAATCACTGCAGTGCTTTCCCGCTTTATTTCTCTGCCTCTCCAAGTCCTTCCTACGTGCCTGGGAAAATCATGCCACGTTTCTGGCCCAGAATTGGGAGCCCTGGCCCCAGGCTCGGCATCACCGGGACTCACCACTTCCTCCAGGAGCAACCGTGGCTGAGGGGTCTCCGGAAACTGAGCAACACCTCCTGTGATAGCAGAAAGTCAGCTAGTCGGACTGTTTCTCGTTGCCTAGCAGCCACCAAGCCGGCTCCCTGCACTACTACTTGGCCTGTCACCACGGTAACGCCTCAGCGAATCACGGGTCTTAGTCCAGGTACTCGGCAAGTGACTGAACCAATCAGTGTTTCCGGATGGTTTTTTGCATCGCTGGTTGGTGAAGAGCCTCAACGGCCCGCCCATTTTTCTCCGGAGGGGGGAACAGAAAACTTGTGCAGTGCCTGCAAGACCCGCAAAGAGATTGGTTTGCTCACCTTTTGATCCTCCCTGTTCACTGCACCAACTACAGGAATCTCTTCTCTTAAGAGGGTCAACACTGACTTGAAGGTCACTTTGATCTCAGATTACCTGCTTCAGGAATCAAGAATCTCAGGAGAGTGACATTTGTTACACGAACAGCTGGAGTCCCAGTCTAGAACAGCGATGGGTTTGCCCCACCCCCGACAGTGTCCAAAGCTGGAGAAACTGGGTTCTTTCCCTCAAACTCCACTCTGAACTTCAGTGAGGTTTGTTGCTGCCCTGGAAGACAACTTTGTGTCAGGAACAGCAGGAGCCTTCATTACGTGGTCCCCCTGATTACCAATGCTTGGATCTTGTTCTGGAATTTAGTGTCGCTTAGTTAGGTCCCAGACTACTATTGCTAATGCAAATATCAAAATCCAGCCCCCATGCGTACTGTAGATGACTAACCCCAATTATTGATGCTGGGGAGCAGACCTTTCACAGGACTTGAGGAACTGATGGCAGAGCCTGGTCTTCAACATCTCTGCCTTTTTTTTGGGGGGGGGGGATGTCTTTCTTTGCTTTTAACCTTGATAGTTGTTTCTTGCCTTCAATGCCTAACTGTATATGAAGTTCAGGAATAGGATGCTACATCCTTACCCGCAATGTGCATTTTCTCAATCTTAACATATTCAGATATGATTTTACATGCTGGTATCACAAGCCCTCTGAAAGAATCATAAAGATAGAATTGGGGTGGCGATTACAGATTATTCAGTTCCGCTCCCTCATTTGATTAAATAGCAAACCAGTCTTTGTTACTGTTACATAAACATTAAATGGAACAGATTAAAAAATGTGACTGCACATTTTATTCTAAAGTAAAATTTAAAACATGAACAAAATTGAGAACCAGTCAAATTTTAATAGGAGAAGGGAAGGAATGAAGGAAGAAAAAAGAAAAGGAGAGAAAGCAATAGAAGGGTAGTAAATGTTGAAATGATTAGGCAACAAAGACAAGAACTTGGGAGAGTATTGAAGACTGACTGTAAAAGTGACTTAGCAGATTTGACAAATAAGCAAATATAGTATAGTACTAAAAAATACAATGACTAAAGTTACTAAATGGAAGTACTGATATGTGCTATGACATGGTTAGATCTTGGCAAATTTATGCTACATTAAATGAACTAGACTCAAAAAGTCATATAATGTCTTATTACCGAGAGTAGGAAAATTCACAGAAATGGTAAGTTGACTAGTGGTCGCCAAGGTCTGGGGAAAAGATTATGAAAAATAACTAATAATTATAGAGTTTCCATGTGGGCAATGAAAATTTTCTAGAACTGGGGAGTGAAAATGATTGCTCAGCAGTATGAATATAATAAATATGACTTTGGGTAAATGTACTGATATATTTAACACAGAGACAAATTTGGTGGACAGATTGAATAGAATATTAAGCAAGCTCAAGAAAAAATATGTGAATGGAAAATAGACAAGAAGAAATTATCAGAATGAAAGAGAAAAAAACCAATGATGGTAAAATACAGAAGAGAAGCTAAGATTCATAGAAGATTCTGGAAGAAGTTTTAATTAAGTTAAATTTTGGCCTAAGGAGAAAAGAAAAAAGAGAATGAAGTAGGAGCAATATTTGCAAGTATATCTGAAGATAAGGTATTCCACAAGAATTTTCTAGAACAGAAATTAGACTTGTCCTTCAGGTGGATAAAATCTGTTTGAGATAATAACAGCGGGGCAAAATTATATTATTATTAAGCTTAATGTATCCAAATAACTGAGAAACAGAGTCATAATAGAATGCTCATGGTTCCCAAGCAACTGTCTGGGCTATGTTTTACTCATTGCAGGGACAAAATACCCAATACTCAAGATTAAGGAAGGAAAGGTTTATTTAGCTCACAGTTTGTGGAGGTTTCAATCTATACTCAGCTGGCTCCCAGGCAGAGCAGCACAGGGCAGAGGGCAGCAGTTCATGGCAGCAGAAGACAGTGAAGAGCAATGGAAAAGGCAGCAGCTGTGGATTCTAGCAAGCTTCTCTCCCCTCCTTATATTATAAGCTGGCTACCTTGGGATGGGGGTGTAGAACTCACACAATGTGCATGCCTTCTTCTTGTACAGGATGAGGATGTTTACAAAGTAAGAATCCTGGCTCTCTGCTGAGTCACTTAATTAACCTCAGGTTGACACAATGTGTCAAACAGTACAATCCACTCCTTTTCAACTTGCCAATCAGACATTTCCTTAAACCAGTTACCATGTACATAGATCTACTTATTAACATTTTACAACCTGGGGAGGGGCTGGGGAGATGACTCAGAAGAATAAGTGCTTTCCTGGCAAGCTTTAGGGCCTGAGTTCAATCCCTGATTCTGTCAAACAACAACAAAACAAAACAAAAAAAACCCCAAGCAAACAAAAAACAACTCCCCCCCCAAAAATTTTACAACTTGAACACTATAGCACAGGTTTAATTATCATTAAGAATCACTATTAAGTTTATCAACATTGTATTGTATTAAAACCATAGCCTTTTGCCCATGGTCATCCAAAGATTCATGCACATCCCTTTATGCAAAAGGCACTTAGTTTACCTCTAAGAGTTGCCAGAGTCCTAACAGTTTCACCATTGCTGAAAAGTCCAAGTCCCAAGTCTTTTCCAAGATCTAAGGCAAACCCTTAGCTGTGAGCCTCTGTACAAACGAAAAGTTAAACACTTCTAACATTCAGTGGCACAAGATAAACATTACCATTCCAGGAAAGTGCTTATTGCACTGAGCCATCTCCCCAGCCCAACATTACCATTCCAAAAGGCACACACAGTAGGATACCAAGCATTGGGACCAAAATAAGTCCAAAATCTACAAGGGCAAACATTAAATCCTGTTGTTCCATGTGGAACATGTGAAGCAATCTGTAATGAGTTATGAGCTCCCAAAGCCTTACATGGCTCCACTCCTATGACACTTCTGCTGGAACATCCCATGACTTCTCTCTCAGGCCAGCTTTGCTCTGTTTCTGCAGCTTTCCTCAGGCAATCCACATTCCTGGTTTCTCCAAACTTCTGGGGTTTCCACTGAATAGGTTTTTCACAGCTTTACACATTGTCCTTCCAGGGTAACACTGCCCGGTCTCCCAGGCCTTCTGAAATCTAGGTAGAAGCCTTCTTAACCTCAAAACTCCTGTATTCTGCATATGCCTAAAAACAATGCTATGTGCATGATGTCAAGTTCTGCTGCCAGCTGGAGCAGTAGCCAGATTTTCTTCTCTCTTGGCTATAGGGGTCAAGTGCCCAGATCACTGAGTACTCTCACCTTGATTCTCTATGCTGCCACCCTTCTGGAAACTGGTGTGTCCTTTGCCTCCATTCTGCAACATGGAGCTCTGTGGCTTTCTCCTCAAAGCAAAGTCCCCCACTCTTGACGTTCTTAGGCTGCAAAGGGCAGAGATCCATGGCCTCCTTTGATGCCTTCAGGTCATCTTTTCTAGTCTCCTGTTCCTCCTAAAGTATGGAGATATCAGTTTTACTTTGCAGTCCACAGCCTTCCTGGCACTTCCTTCCTGGCCCGATTCGTAACATTTTAAATCATCATGTTGGGTTCTTCACTCTTGATGATCAACATAAATCTGACTAAATGCTCCAACAATAGCCATGCCACTGCTTCAACATTCTACTGCTTTGAAATTTCCTTTATTAGATTAAACAGTCTACTGTGCTTAATCTCAGTCTAAGGCAAACTCTATGAACATGAGCAAAATACAGACAAACTTTCTGCCAAGCCATAGCATGAACCATCTGGAGTACAACCACCAATGGAGTCCTTCATCCCAGCAGAAACCTCTCCAGCCTGATCTTTATAGGGAGGATTTCTATCGGCATTTTGCTCTGAGCTCTGAACACAATCTCCTATACAGAAGAGGAGAAGGCGTTCCAGCACTTCGCTAATAGGCAACATCTCCAAACCTTTCCTATTTCTTCCCATAAGCTATTCTCTAAAGCTCTTGAGCAACATAGTTAGTCACAGCAATGACCCCATCCTTCTGGTACCAAATTAGACTAAGTGCCTTTTGAATAAAGGGATGTGCATGAGTCTTTTGTGGGGGCAGGGACAGAATGTTATGGTTCTCATGTAATATAATGTTGATAGACTTAATAGTGATTCTAAATGATAGTTAAACCTGTATTATAATGTGAAGTTGTGAAATGTTAATAAGCATGTCTTTGTATCTGGAAATTGGTTTAAAGAAATATGTCTAGTTGCCAAGTTGCCAAGGGGTGGATTGCGATGGTTGACAGATTTTGTCAATTTGAGATGTTGGAAGCTTGGCTGGATCAGCTCAGCAACTCTATGCCTTAAGGTGTGGAGGCCCCTCCCTAGTAGGGAGGGGTGGGGAGGGTCCAAGGAGGGGCTAAGGAGGGGCAGGGAGGGGCAGGGAAGGTCCATCCTAGAGTGACTTGAGAAAGGCTTGATTGTGGCTGCTGCTCCTTTCTCTGCTCTTCACTGTTTTCCACTTCCATGAATGGCTAATGGCTACCTTTTGCCTTGTCCTACTCTGCCCTGGAGCCAGCCAACTATGGATTGAAACCTCCACTAACTGTGACCTAAATAAGCTTTTCCCTTCTCAATTTTGGGTATCTGGTATTTTGTCCCAGCTATGAGTGAAAAGTAAGTGAGATAGCAACTCAATGATTTCAGTGAAAGTCAAGAACTATAGTAAGGTGCCATGACTTTTGGCATTTCAGTAGCTTTTTATAC